GGGGGGCCGTTTTTTTGGGACCGCTTTCCCCTTTTAGGTGTTTTTTTTTTTTTTTTTTTTTTTTTTTTTTTTACCACCGATGATCTTTCACCTTTTCATGACTTCTTATTCCCCCCCCCCCTCCTTGTGCTCTTTTCTTTCTTTTTTTTTCGCCCTCATCATTTCAACCGTCCTGCAGCCACATATGTTTTAACAATTACCTTTTAGGCTGCAGCTTAACATTTTTCAAGATGTTTGAATAGTTGCCAACAGCCATAGCGCTCATAATAAAATGTTTTCATTGTTACTGCAGCCTGTTGAAGGGAGTTGCTACTTGCCGTTAAGTCATCGGCCAGGTATCTTTTTAAGTTTTACTCAAATTAATAACAACTTTATGCAGCATGATTTTTATTTATTTATTTATTGAACTGGAAGTGGGAGTTACCTGTGCGTAAAAGCAAAGCGCCGCGAACTGGAGAAACCTGTGGCATAAACAGCAAATAAAATAAAAGATAAAATAACTGTTTTGTTTTTTTTTTTTTGCACCAACGGAAAAAAAAAGCATGTTAGAATCTGCTAGCGGCTCCAACACTTACAGATAACCTAACCTCGATGTTCTCAGCCTCATCCTGTAATAGTTCAAATATTGCTTCATGAATACTTCGCTGATTCGGCGTTGGATGCCCTCAGAAATACCATTCCCGTAGATGGGTGCCTTCGGTTCAGTTTGAATCAACCTCCTTGTTGCGCACCGAAAGCCAAACCCATGACAATTAAGAGATCCAGAACTGTCAGGAGTCCCGACGCAGGTCCTGTCCGCAGTCAGGAGGGGAACGTCTGGAAGATTTAGAAGGCGCTGCGACGCTAATCCGAAAAGCGAAGTCTTGTGAAGAGCGTCGCTGTCACCCCAGCTCCTCCATCAAATCCTCTTTGACTCATTCAAGTTGTTCAAACAATGAAACGTTTTTTTTTTTTTAAAGTAGAAATTAATCCCTCTATCGCTCTCGAAGAGTGGCGATCGTTGGTTTCACGAACGGATTTCTGCGCGTCATGGAAGAGATGCTTTTTTCCCCCTGAAGAGTGCGGTCATTTGTGAGGAAAGATGATGCGCGCATCTCCTTAAAATGTGGCAAACAAAGTTGCCTCCGCTGTCAATCTATACGTGCGGGTTGTAAAGTCCCTGCGTCCCCAGTCTTCCACCCACACGCGTGTTCCTTCTTTTCTTTTTTCTTTTTTTTTTCCTTTTTTTTTTGCGGTCGCCTCCAGTCCACATACAGCATCTGTCTCACTCTACATTTAAATACTTTAACTTGCGGGAAAGTCAATATCCTCGGCGAGAGCAGGCGGAGCGTTCAGACTGGAGCCAAGATGAAACTGAATCCTTGTTAGGACGCTCAAGCCTGCAACGATCTGCGTGCGAATCCTTCACCGATTCATACGGAGGGACTCGTTCATCTGTACAGGTGCATCTCAGTAAAAGTGGAGTGTGATCGAAAAGTGAATTCATTTCAGAAAGTCAGTTTTAGAAAAAGTGAAACTCATATATGGACGTGTTTCAAGCAGATTTATGTTTCAAGTTATTGTCAAAAACACAGGCAGTTACAACGATACATTAGTCCAATAAAAGAATTATTTTCATCCAAAATGTCCTTCCAAAAAAGAAAAAAAAAGAAAAAGTATTTGGCCCGAGCTCTTGTCAGTGGAATTACTGCCTTAATGCAATGTAACATTGCAGCGTTGTTGTGCCATTGGTGGCTGTTCAAGCACAGTGATAGCACCGTCATCAAAGCAGGTGTTAGTGCTTTTGGCTGTGTGAGCAGGTCCTGCAGGAAAATAAATTTAGTGTCTCCATAAAGCTGCTCAGAAGAGGAAAGCCTGACGTGTTTCCTGGTAGCCGACTGCTCTGCCTTTACCTGATGAAACACCGTGAACCAAAACCAGCGGATGACACGGCTGCTCAAGTCATCCGCTGGCTTCGGAAGCTTCCCACCGGACGTCGGACGACCTGGATTTTGTGCCTCTCCACTGTTTTTCCTTTAACACTCTCAAACCTCGATTTAGGAATAAAATGCGGCCGCTTTGGACTGCTGAGCATGTGCAGTTCTTTTTCTGTTTAAGATGCTTCTGAGTTGATCTTGAGTTCATTAGTGGCTAACCATGAGGCCAATTATAGTTTCTCAAGTTCTTTTTCTACAACACTTTTTCCTTCCTCTCAACTTTCTATGCTTGGATGTCTATGATCTGCCACGTCTTTAGCAATAACTTTTTATGGCTTATCTGCCTTGTGGAGGGTGCTGATGGCTGTCTGCTGGACAAGTCGACAGTCTTTCTTGTCATTGTATAGGCCGTATCTCTATCACGACATGGAAGGAGTTTGGTTCTGCTATGTTACTTTTGTGTTGAATTCCTTCTCTCTTTGGATTTTGCATTTTAGTAGATCCTAGTGTCTACAAATGCCTCTATTTAGATATCGGTGTCGTTCCTTTGTTCATGTTACATCACCTGTGTGTCTTGGTAATGGCCGTTTTGAGCCATCGGCACTTAATTGCTTGGTTCATGCTTCTCAACGGCTTCGAGACTTTTGTATTAATTCGACTCACCTGATGCTGGTCCCATTAATCACCCTCCTCAGAATAAATGCTCCTCTGCTCACTCGCCCCTTTGCCATGTCTCTTCTATTGCAATGCCATTCTTTTCCCCAGTGTTGCTCATCGGTTCCTTTTTGTGCCTATGCGTGACCTTTGGGTTCTTCATTTCAACTACGAAATATTTCAAACATGGCCGTATAGCATGACTTTTCAGTTTTTTTGTTTTTTTTTTGCATAATGCTTTTTCTACATGAAAAACTGAGTGGACTAAAGTGACAACATGTGAACACCTGACTTGTACCACCCTCTGTGTAAGGAATCTACTGATTCCACAATTTTGAAATAAATTATTGAAATACGTGATGTTTTCAGTGGACATGCACATGATAGACATGTAGTGAATCTAAGACACATTCTGCTTTTTCTGTGTTTAAAGGCAGATTAGATAAAAATAATAATAATTTAAAAAAAACATAACCAGCCATTATTCCCAATCACATTAATCTCATTCAAGTCCAGAATCGCAGAACACTTTGTTTTCTATCAGCACATGGAAAAATTCCCTGGCATGTACTTAAGAAAATCTACAGTTACATTAAGTTATTCCCTTACTGCAGGTTAGAGGTTGTTTGAGGGGGGGAGGTCCCTCAGGATAGAACCCCAACATACTTTTTTTCATCCTACATATTTAAGTAATACGTATTCCATGTGAACGCATGAAGCACAATGGTTTTCACATAACATCCGAAGCCTTTTTTCACATGAATACACATGCTCTCTCACTCACAAACACCCCTCAACGACTGCTTTCGGCCTCGGGTTTGAGCCTGAAAACCTCGTCCGGGGCCTCAAGTGCTACTTTTGCAGCACGGCTTCATACGATACATCATGCAGTTAAACCATAATTATTCTTCGTGACAACAGAGGTGCAGGGTTTCCTTTAAGCGGATGATGACCGCTGCATGTTTGCACAACAATGCTGTAAATAACTGTCAGCGAGTAATTAATGCCTTTTATGTACATGGCACCTTACAAAGATGTAAATCACAAAGTTCTTTAATGAAAAAGAGAATAAATATTGAAGTGTAATTTAGAAGACAAAAAAAACAGTTCAATGATAAAGATAAAATGGAAATTTAAAGTGATATTCAACCAAGTTTCAAAGAAAAATCCCTTCAAATTAAGAGTGTCTTCAAGACAGCGTAAAAACAAAGGAAAATCATTCAACAGTCGATGTGCTGCAGTCTGGAGAGAGCGATCACTTTGGGTTTTTATGCTTAGGACTATGATTAGAGTTTGGTTTGAAGGCCTCCACTTGGAGAGTGTCTTTGTCTTTGACAGTTAAGTAAAATAGGAAGGTGCTTGACCTCGCATGCAGAGTCTCGAAAGTCAAGATTCTAACATTAACTGTAAAATGAACCGGTAAGCCAATGTAAAGACATTAAAACAGGAGCGTCATAAGCTCTTCTGCTTCTTCCAGTTAAAGAGTCTCGCTCCGCAGTTCTGGATTTTGTTGTTGTTGATGTATGTGAAAGTGCAAAAGGAAATAAGAAGAATGAATGTTTTCGCAACAAACTTATTTGTTTGGAAATATTTTTTTTAATAGAGCAAACAATTTAGACTAGTAATTTTGTAGCCTTCCTATTATCAGCTTGATTCACTTTTTCTTCTGCGCTCTGTCTGGACTTTCTCCCATTGAAATGGATTTCTCCGGTAGAACTTCAACCGGGCCAATCAGCGAACAGAAGCTGTGAATGATGGATGCTGTTTTACAATTGCAGTCCGCCTGTAGTTTTAGCAATGGTGGCGGAGGAAGTGAACAAAGTCTGTATTGGCCACACTTCCAAATATTGAATTGGCATCAACAGCCGCCTCATGTGGCTCGGCACTTCTTTCTTCCCAGAGGATGGCTGCTTACAGTGCAGGCAATTTCTGGTAAGCTGTGTAGAGTTGAATTTGTGCATTACTTATGTCACAGCCAAACATTAGCCATCCATCCATCCATCCATCCATTTTCTTTACTCCCTTGTCCCTTAGTGGTGTCAGGAGGGGTGCTGGTGTCTATCTCCAGCTAACGTTCCGGGCGAGAGGCGGGGTTCATCCTGGACAGGTCGCCAGTCTGTCACAGGGCACCAAACATTAGCCATTGGGTAAAATGTAAAACTGTAACAGAGTCCACACCTCCAGGAAGCAGTCGTTTCTCCGACCCTTAAAGCTTTGGACATGGAGCTGGTTTCTACCAGGCTAGTAACTTTGAGAAATCGACTGGTAAAAACATTAAGATTTCTTAAGTTTGACTAAATGGCAGAAGTCAAACGACCAATGTGTTGCCTGAGTAGGGGTACATCTGTATATTCAGTAAGCCTGAATGTCATCTGCATAAAAGTGACATGAAATAATAATGAAACAATCTAAACTGCAGTAAAAAAGTGAGTCAAAAATAAAAATGATATGCGCCACGTATCAGATCAACATACTCGTTCTGTTGTACATTTTGAAATAACGCTTTTAGCTTACTGTTACACTGAAATGGTCTCAATCTGGTCATTTTCTGTGCCCACTTTTGTACCGGGTCTTAATGAGTAAAGAGGAATATTGCATGCAACACTTTCCTTGAGGTGCACCCCTCCAATTTTTTCCCCTAAACAGACAGGTGACATAACAAGTACAACAGAAAACTGATGTTGGGAAAACACTTTTTCTCTGATATCACTGGAAAGCTGAATGCAGTTACTGGTACACGATTCAAAATCCAAGAAATTATTTGCTAAGCACAAAAAAAGGCATTATTTCTGCTAAATATCCAAGAATGTGATGACACCAGAACAGTTCTAGCAACATATGTGTCACAATATGCATTTTTTTCTTAATCAGGGCAAAAATATCACAGCAGAGATTTGCAGACGCCAAGCCTTAAATGCAATTATTGTCCCTGTGACTCCGATTTGTAAAGCTTTATAAACGCAGGCTCTCACCCTCCATGTGTGAACATGATGGGAAACTGCTGCACGGAGAGGCAGTATAAGAGTAAATTACATTACATATATAATTATGAGAGTTTGTTCAACATCTTAGCTGTAAATCAGTCATTTTGGCCCATGCTGGAGACTTAAAGGGTGAAAATGGACTGGCTTATTAGTTCCAGCGGGACACTGCAACAAGTGAATTGGCCATATGGAACAGTTCAGCACTTTGTTTTAATCCTGTTTGAAGCAACAATTAAAATATCTTGAAATAAATTCCACGTGAACGCCATTAAACTTCAAAAGCGCACACTTATCTGACTAAAAGCAAATTATGCAAAGAAATTAGGCAAAAGAAACCTGGAAACTTTAGATTAATCATCTCTTCAGAAACTGAACTGTTGCAGCTTCATATTAAATGTTTTCTGTTTTAGGGTTAGACCAACTGAGACTTGAGATAATATGACATTTATTGTTTTCTTAGCTGCATATTAAGTCAGACTATTTTATATGCCAGTGTAGGCTGCGCAAATTCTGCCTAACAGTTAGCAGGTGTGGCTATTTTTTAACACATGAAAACTCCTGGTGCCTTTTGCTGACTTAAATCTCTGACATTTCTCAGAACATTTTTAAAAGTGCTTATAAATATTCTGATAACTATTGTTACTCCAATTCCCAGACTTTTAATTCACTGCCAGGAACCCACACATTTAGGTCAAGTGTGAAGAAAATCCTGAGCAGATTTTAAAATTCAGACGGTCACGATGATGTGATGTGATGTAGAGTTCAGACAGTGAATCTACATCATAATTGGAATAAGGCTGACTCTCAGCTGGCCATCTTTGCCCCTAACATGCTCTAATTGCTAAACCAAACACCCAATCTTTTTTGACCAGTCAACTTCAATTCTAAGCTAAGACAGGACTTAAAAACAGCTGCACTCGTCTGTGTGGAGCTTAAAGTCAGGGACTGTCAATGTCAGCGAGGTGTTTAGAAATTAAATCAGCTATAAAGTTTATAGAAGCTTCAAGAAAGGACGCCGTATCATCTGCAGAGGCATGTCGTCGTTCAGTCAGTCCGGCACCAATAGGGTCGCTCTTTCAAGGAACGTGCAGGATTTAGAAATGTTGGCATTTAGGAATCTCCAAACTGCAGAGCTGTGCCACATCTACTGCTCTCTCTCTAGCATGAACATTGTGTCACAACGGGTGTCATCTTTTGTTCCTAAATTGATAGTTAGTTGTTGTTTATAGTAGGGCTTCTTAAGGTTCCTGGATGATAAAGTGAATAATTTAACATTTTTTTTACATCTCCAAAACGCTGAAGCATTTTTCTCCAATGTTCTGACAAGATATGTTCAAACACGTGACGATTATGGTGCACTTCTGGGTTTTGAGGAGTTAAAGTCAGTTTCTTGTAAAAGAGTAAATAATATTTGGTAACACTTTATTTGAAGGGGGTTGAATAAGACTGTCATGACACTTTCATAAGCCTTCATAAATATTTATGCCTGTTGTCATAAAGCGTCATTCGGTAAATTATGACACTTTTAATACAAAGTTGACATTATTCAAAATGTCTGTTATGACAACTTGACATTAACCAAGAAATCATTACTGTTCAAACTTTACCTTTAATAACATAAAGTTACCTAATTTTTAAAGTGCAATCAGTAATACTTTTATATCAAATTTATATCAGTAATGATTTCTTGGTTAATGTCAAGTTGTCATAACAAAGACATTTTGAATAATGTCAACTTTGTATTAAAAGTGTCATAATTTACCGAATGACGCTTTATGACAACAGTCATAAATATTCATGAAGGCTTATTCATGTTCATGACAGGTGTTATGTCATGTTTATGACAGTGTCATGTCAGTCATATTCAACCCCCTTCAAATAAAGTGTTACCTAAAATATATTGTAATTTTTAGTTGTTTTTTATTTGTACACATTTCTGTATTTAATAACGTGGTGATTAGAGATTTACAGTAAAGACAGAGAGAGAGAGAGAGAGAGAGAGAGAGAGAGAGAGAGAGAGAAACAGCTCTCTATGTCTGAGTCAATCACTGATTTGTTTCACAGTTTTGTGTCTACAATTAAATTAGTTAATTTCTTCAAAAATACAATATATGTAAATATATTTAAAATGTTAATATCTGTACACAAATTGAAATCAGAACGGACTAAATTCAGTATCGTCAGAGATTTACAATATTGAAGACTGGCCAAAACATTTCCAGTCAGTCCATTTCCGGTTTAGATTGGACGTCATTTAGCTGAGAAGAAGGTAGGAACAGCTCTAGATCAAATATTTAATCATCCTGGGAACAAAGAAGCATCTTTACTGGCATAGTTATAAATATGCTGCGAAAATACCAAATTGGAACAAATCTAATATACTGGATAAAACAGGCTCCCTTTTCACACTTTTTTTTTTTTTTTACATGTGGATGATTGTAAGCTTTCATTTTGAGATTCAAAATCCCTGTACTCAGTTGTTGACTCCATTTACTTTAACTTTGTACCATAATCAGGTGACAAAAGCAGAAACTGACAAAGTTGTTTTTGTTTTCCGTATCTGCGCCCTTCTTATTTTACAAAGGGATTAAAAGTGCAGTAAAGTGGATTTGTTTGGAGAGCACTTGAACGACCTTTCATAAACGTTTCTCCACTTTATTCTACTGTACCTTAGTGCGATCCTGTTAATCAGCACTGACTTGACGCTAACAGGCTCTGACCCACATTAACACCTCGGTTTTTAAAACCAGCCTGGAAACATTTGGT